TCTGCGATAGCTGGAGAACTTTGCAATCTCGTCACATGTAGGATGCCTCATTAATATTTCTAAACCACATCAATGCAAAAATGAAATTCGAAATAGAGATGGAGGAAGACATGCGTCTACATTTCCTCTTCACTTTAGCGTGGCTATTCCTATTCCTTTCTCCAAGGCGGGCTCTACTTCGTAAATCTATACATTTTTGGAAGCATCGTCTAGCATTTAAGTAGTTCAAATTATTATATATTTATCTATCATTCACTTTTTCCAGTTCCCATGATTGAAACGGCATTCACCTCTTCCAATGCCGGTCTCTCTGGCCCACATAATAACTCAGCCGGTATTCCATATACAGGTAGTCATCTGTCCTCCGATTTCTCCTCATCTTCTGAGGCTTCTTCGATAGTGTCAACTACTCTGATGGCTCACCAATTAGCACGCGTCGCCTCAGCCAACTGGACAACTCGAGCTGTCTTCGCCCGTAGCCCGGCTTCTTCGCTTCGACGGTGTGCCATCGATTTAATAGGCAGAGGCCTAGACGTTTGGGAGGCGTTTCTCGACACCGGACAGCTCCTTAATGCTCTTCTTAATCTGGCAGCTCCGGCCGAAGATATGTTGCAAAGGTCAGATTTATATATTTTTATCGACTAGGACATTCTTATTTACTTTATTCATTAAGTTCAGAATGTTGATAGTTCTGGTAATTAACTCATCCTCATGTATGCATATACACATAAACTAAATCCTTGCTTCCCCTCCTTTTGTCAGAACTCTCTTTTTGCACCGCAGGTTATATAAAGAGAAGAGTCCTTAGCTCAGTGACCACAAGCGTTTCTTGCTTGGGTTGCGAACCCCACTTGTATCTTCGTTCATTATTCTGCGAAACCTCAACGAAAAATATATAATCAGTAACATTCTTGTGCCGTAGTTTCTAATTTATATAACTCCTTGAATGATACATGTACTACAACAAACGTAATACATACCTAGTTCACAAAGTATATAGTGAAGCAAATCAAGTTATTGTTTTAAATGGCATACTATAATTTCAAATGAGCCTCAGTTTTGTGACATTTGGATATTACTTCATAAAACCGCTTTTTTATATTGACAATGGCCATACCCTTCATTTCTAGTAGTCTGGATATTGATAATATTGATGATTGAGATCTTGATAAGGCTTCTGTTAATTTTTATGTCCTACTGTCTATTGGAATAGGTTCGACAATAGTACTATTTTTTAGAAGTTGTTTGAACTTGTTTTCTAAAGATGGTGTGGCCTTTTGTGTGGTCGCAGTCTCCTTTCGTTGAATAGAAGTTGTTTGACCTTGTTTTCGATGGTGTGGCCTTTTGTGTGGTCGCAGTCTCCTTTCGTTGTATAGAAGTTGTTTGACCTTGTTTTCGCAAAAAGACCAAGATGGTGTGGCCTTTTGTGTGGTCACAGTCTCCTTTCGTTGAATAGAAGTTGTTTGACCTTGTTTTCGCAACTTGGTGTGCCCTTTTGTGTGGTCGCAATCTCCTTTCGTTGTATAGAAGGTCATATTGGTAGGAAGACTTAGAGGAACGCACCTAGTCCGGAGTCCATTGTATGCATGATCATTTCCAGAGTAGGACCATGGACGTAGTACATCCCCAGACGTTTGGCCGGCATCGCCAGTGAGTCTTGTTATTCTTAGCACCATATATACGGAGAAAAGTTAGATCTCGAGGAATGTCTTGCTTCATAATTGTTGAGCTTAATTCCATTTCGAGTGAAAGTGTTGGGTGAAGAGATTCGAAGGTCGGTTCCAGTAGAAGTCGACGGTTGATTCTTCTGCTGGAACCGACCTTCGAATCTCTTCACCCAACACTTTCACTCGAAATGGAAGTGAGCTCAACACTTCTTAGCACTACACTGCAATTCATCAAAGAGACAAGTGAAGCCGATCCATTGACCAAACGTGTGCTAAACAGTTGTGGTATCTCCCCGTCTGCCCTGAGCTATTCACATTTCCTATATCCTCTTATCACACCTTCATTGTTACAATTTTTGCCACGCTTTTTTTGCTGTAGTGTGGTGTGTTCATTTGAACGGCAGTCATGAGAACCCTCC